GGTGTTGTATGGTTTATTTCTAAACACCAATATTCGAGGTTATGAGAACAGGTTGACATTTCGAAAGTACGTTCCGTCATTCAACGATTCCTGTTGAGTTGACCGTTTATCCTTGTCTTTGTCTTTATCTTATGGTCACTGTATAATTCCATGGTTACCGGAGTTTTAAATAATTACGGAGCAACAGGTATTTTGCAATGTTAATTAGGCAGATTACCTTGAAAAACATTGCTGCCGTATCTCTGATATCGTTTTTTTGCAAATTTCTCAGTTTTTAATAACAATTAATTTATTTTACTATTTTTTCTGTACTCCTATAACAGCGCCAGACAACACCTCCAGCGGAATGACGCCAATTTTGAATCACCCTGTATTTAAAAGACCCGTATTTTCCATCAGTACCAAATCATTTTAATTTTCCCGATTTCATATTGCAACCAAAGTGTAATATGCAATCATGGTTAGTCATAAAATCCGGGACAGACAATGCTATTAATTTTATGTAGCTTAAGTGCACCTAAGTAATCGCGTGTTGCTTCCAAACGACTTTAATATAATAATATAACTGGTCACGATAAATTATGTTAGCAGTTCTTCTTTACTTTATTTGTTATCTTCTATTCCTTCTGTATTACACTTGTGTCCTGTAAAACGAGAATCTTTTTATGGCGGCCCGGATCTAAAATGCATTTATTATTCGCATTCCTGCATTCTAATTAACGAGCTTCATTTAATAATGGCCCTACCCCTACACATAACTGGCTGACACTGATGAAATATTTTTGGTTTATCTTTATGTTGAAATCCTGAAGTGAATATGCAGATTCGCAACTGCTAACTTGTACGCTAACGGCATGTATTTCCCCGTGCCATTTTGGAGGCGGGCCCAAATCAATATGTTGCAATTTTAATATCGTCTCTTGGCAGAATTTAGTGTACGGCACCACACTTCTAAGCGGCTTTGACACCGTTCCAAATCGAATTCCGCTTTCTATTATATGGGTTTGAGTAAAACGCAAATTCACACTTGCTGCAGCATTAAGTCTAATATTATTTTCATGTGGGTGTCTCATATTGAATTCTTGTAAAACTTGTTTGCTACTTCAAACAGCGTCTCTAAATAGTCTAATTAATTCTATTTTCGTACTTAAACTGATGTTTAGTCAGCGTACTGACACATTAATAGCGAATGGACTGTTTTTAGAAAAAGGTACTTTGTTTCTATGGCTCTATAGTGAGGACAAAACTTCGGACTTTGCGTAAAAATGTAAAACAGCTAAACAAATTTTTCTAGTAACTATTTCCAAATTTTCGAAAAGAGAAGAGACGAAAATTTTAATTCAATATAAAAAATAAACCTTGTCATTATACGCGAAAACAATATAATTTACATGTTCTCCACGGGACCTCCTACAGGCCTCAATCCTTTAAAGGTAATTTTGAATGACTTTTCGGCACATTACCGATAATATCTCGGTCATAACTTCACGGATATTGGCTTTCAGTTGCTCAAGAGTTTGAGGATTGTTGGCGTAAACACGATATTTTGCATAGCCCCACAAAAAGAAATCTAACGGTGTTAAGTCGCAGGATCTTGCGGGCCAATTGACATAACTCAATCTCGAAATTACGCGTCCTGGAAATTTCACTTTCAGTAGGGCTCTAACTGCCAGTGTTATGTGACTTGTTGCCCCATCCTGCTGGAACCACATGTCTTCCAGATCATAATCTTCAATTTCTCTCCAAAAATAATGGGTTAACATGCGTCCATAGCGCTCAGAATTGACTCTTCCGTGATTGTTTTCAAAAAAATACGGGTCAATAACCCCACCGAACCATAATGCACACAAGGGCGGA